TTTTTTTTTTTTTTTTTTTTTTGGCCCTCCCACCACCCTTTGCAAGGGGACAAGGGAATTTATTTTATGTGGAGAGTTGGCATAAAATAGCCTCAGCCCACAGCTTTATTTTATTAAACAACCAAAAGAAAAGTGAATTACCTGTTTTCAAATCTGTACAAGAGAGCAATGAGGTGGGGATGGCCTGGGGACCAGGCTTCTCAACAGCGAGCTCTGGGTTTAATATCAGGAAAGCTTCACAGTGCAGATTCCTGTGGCACAGGGCTGTGATCATACCCTCCACACCATTTCAGCCCTCCTCTCTTAAGATGGGAGAGAATGTGCTTGTGGTTGGGGAGCAATGAGCTTGATCTACTCTGCGCAACACAAGAGCACTGTCTGCTGCCCAGGCAGTCATGGAGGATGGTGATGAGCCATAGGCTGTGTAGTTATGAAGTGGTTACTCTAACACTTGGCACTGCATAGGCTCTGGCTGTTACTCCAGCCCATCCACTAGTACTGACTGCAGAAGAGGCAGCCTTGGGTGGAAGGTAGTTAGAAACTGGGTCTTTGCCTGAATGGCAACTTTCATTTTAGAGCACTTTCGCTGTTATACAGAGCACCAGAATCAAGCAAGCAAACAAGTCAAAGTACTAGTTTGGGGATCTCAGAATAAAAGTATTCCACTTTAAGAAATGAACAAATAGATTTAACCAGTTTTAAATCAGAGTTTGAAGAAAAGATAAATAATTATAAAATAAGGACAGTCTCATTTCTAACCAATTAAGGTTAGAAGCCTGAAGCCTCACCAGAATCTCTCGCATTAAACAGTGCCTTTCCAGAACTGTGTTGCTTAACAGTGACTGCACAGAAGGTGTGGTGGGTGGGAAGCCCCTAAAAATCTTCTAACGGAGCTAACTGTGGGGAGCAGCATGAGCTCCAAGAAGCCTGCAAACTAGTTTGTAATTTGTTTAAACCTAGTGTCTGCATTTTCCTCAACTCTAGGTCAGCAAGTGTAAATGCAGCAGAATCAGGAAATGAAGCCTCGCTGCATTTCTATCCTAGTGTTTCTCTCCATGGTGAATCACTTGTATTACCCAGAGGAGTGATTCATACCCACTTTCTACAGAACTTGTTTGATTGTAACACTATAGAAAAATGGTAGAATTCAAATGGCCACATTTGGTAGGTCTGGGTAGCATTTTAACAGGATGTTTCAACCTTCAAAGCCTACCTGTATTTCTCCTCCTTTATCAGCTGAACTGTTTAAAAATAAGTCCATTATCATGTTGGATTTTCAAGCGTTATTAAATAAACAAGTCATTGTGCTCATGTTTCCAACTTTTCTTTTAATACCTTTTTTGTTTGCTCTTGAACAATCACAGAACCTGGAGAAACACGGTAAGTAACAACAGAGAATGGCTCCGGGAAAGGAATGTCATTCGTGGCAGGCTTTATTTCTGTTTCTGCTGATTGTGCTAGAAATGGATCCAGAGCAAATGTGGTTAAAACAAAGGGGAAAAAGATCTTCCCCTAACCATTCAGACTTCGGCATGGTCTCCTCATAGGTGTACTATTAATTAAAGGCTAACCTGGCTCTGGGCTTCCAGACAGTGGACTGGGAATGAGGTTTCCATTGGCAAATGAGAGTGAAATACTGAGCCATACTTGTACTAGAGATGGAGTCACTGTCGGCTCTTGCTGGCATTTATATGGTAATAGTGACAACTGGGTTGCAGAAAGAATAGTGTTTTCCCTGAATATTGAGGTTCCTGGGATTCCCAGTAAAATCCCATATAAAAAGATTAAGTGTTTCACATGCTAGTGGTAAAGGATTATTCTACCAATGTTTATAATATACAGTTAAACCCCAGTCTAACAGGTCCCCTGCTTGTGTTAGGAAACCAAACTAACTTCAAATCTAGCTGCTGAAATGTAATAGGCCTGCCACTTGGTACTGCAGTTTCATGCCAGAACAAACATAGCTGTAAAGTTGAGCCTTTACCTCTATTTCTTTATACCGACCTTTTAGGAGGAGTTAATGTCAACTCTTTTCTCTTCATCACACATTACATTATCCAAGAAAGTTGCTGTGCTTTAAGTAAATTCTAAACTCAAAAAGCACCACTACGAGCTATGGTACCAAACCAGGTGGCAATTAAATGTTCACAGGTAACTGAAGCCCTTCAAAGCAAACCCTGATTAAATAGGCTTGTCCTGGACCTGGGAGAAATGTGGCAGCTGTTACTGTCGTCACAATCCTTCAAAGTGGTCAAGGGAATAACACAATCCGATCGCCTCAGAATTTGTCGGCTCTATAACAAGGTTTATTCACGAGATACAAGGTTCTCCCTCCCCTCAGAATTATGCATATGTTGCTGAGTCCTGGTAACGTATTCAAGCTCCAAAATTTCTAGGGATCTACATTCTCTTTACTTGGGATCCTCATCTTCTGCTCCTCATTGCCCAGCAAATGAAGATGTACTGTTTCAGTTAGTTCAAGGCCAGAATGCCTGGGGCTCAATCACAAGTAGTGAATACAAGTCAGCAAATCCTTTATCTAGTTGTCTGAAAGTGAAACAGGACTGAAGTCAGTATTTCCCAGGCAGCTTTCTTCCAATGTTAAAGGAGGCAAATCAGGTTTTTCCCTTCCTCGATTTCTTCTTGCACTTTGTCGCTGGATGTGGCGATTTCAGCTTGTGCTGAGAAGACTGCACAGATGAATGTCAGAACAGTGCCACCAATAGCAGTGTAGAAGGCCCAGCCCAGTGAGCAGTCTCCAAGTTTGTAAGCAGAAGCATAGTGTCCACAATAGCTTACTGCCTTCTGGCAGCCCCAACCTGCAGGGTACAGCATCAAGCCTAAGATAAGGAAGAGGCCTAAAAAAAAAAAAAAGTGCAATAACAAATGATCAGTGAGCAAGTCGCAGGCCCAGGCTTCCATGCAGGAGTGATTTGTTCACTGTTCCCTTACATCTGCCACCCTCCAAATAACAGGAAACAGATAGGAGAAGCCCCATAGTACAGGTAGGTTCTGGCTGGTGCAACCTCTAGGGCACACTGTGCTTTGCGCTAAGTTTCCAGTCCTTCCACCACTTCTCCTGAGACGGCCATTTCAGACTAGGAGCTGTCAAAGTTGTTCCTTCAGTCCAGGCCATGTTTGTATCCATGCAACACATTGCTCCTAGGTACATACTTCCTGGTTGGCTCTCAAGTGTCCCTACCCAGTGTGTATATTTATACCTTCAAATGCTTGTCAGTAATTGTTGTGGCCCCTGCTTGAATCCTCATTTAGCCAAGCCACATTTAGTTTATTTAATGGTTTCTTCCAAAAACAGCTTGTCTAGTGCTTAAACACTTGTGCTTCTTTTCGCTAACTGTTCCCCAGAAGTCCCAGTGATCTGGCTACACCCAGTATCTAACAGCTGGGGTGAAAGGCAAGTCTCTTGGACCTAGCTTTCCAGGAGATGATGGTGTAGGACATTCATTATGGTGGTTTTTGTAACAGGGTAGGGGCTGCTAGGATTTGACCTACTGCCTTCACTTTGGAGCTAAAGTCCAAATGTTTGGCACCACTGAGTTCTTCAACAGCTGTTCAGCCGCAGTCCAACCTTGTGGGCTGATTCAGGCCCTGGGCACATACATTTCTGCTGGGGGATGGGCACAACCACAGAAATCTGCATAGCCCCAAAATGCTTGGAGCCCAAGCTCATGCCTAGGCCCCAGCAAGTTTCTCAGGGTAGGTATCTCTCCTGTGTGGGGTCTGGCCTGCTCCTCTGACTGGGCCAGAACCAGGAGAAGCAAGACACTGAATCTACTGTCCAGTGGGGTTGCAGGTGGGTCTGGGTTAGGTCCCTGCTCCAACGACCATTTAATTATTTAGATAAAGTGAAGCAGCTTAAAGGGGAGATAGACACACAGCAGAAAACCCATGAATCCTGGTAATTAGCACAGCAGGATATAGGAGACCGGGCTTTTTCTCTGTGCTCTAAATCAGAGTGACAATTAGATTAGTGTGAAACCAGTGCATGGGTGACTGGTGCTGCCTTAGTTGGGGGGAGGAGGGGGAAACACTCCTGCTCCCCAGCCAGCACTTACAGGGGGTGGGCAACAGTGCTCCCACCTGCCTGTTGCCTAAGCGGCGAGTGTGGCTGGTCAGGGGGTGCACCTGCACCCCCTATGCGTCACCACTGAACCAGTGGGCTGCGGTGTACAATGGGATGGGGAGGGGGAGTTGGTTCTTTGGTTTTCTGTGAGAAAATGCTGTGGGGAGGGTTAGGTGCCAAGAATGGGCTCATAGCTAAGAATCCTGCCCTTCTCTTTGGCTTAAGCAACTTGTCACTTGCTGGTTGCAAGGCTCCCATTCTCCCCATGCAGGGTACAAGAAGCCTGGATGCCTAATTTGGGGTTGAGATTCTACTGTGCGTCAAGTCACTGAAAAGCTAAGTATTACGATGCCACGTCCCTTTGTGAATGGTGCCCTTAAGGTGTTTCAGACCTTAGCACTCCTTGATTGAGGCTAAGGTGGCTGCAGGTACCAGTCAGGGCTCACTCCTGTGGAACACTGCATTTTCAAACGTTTTTTTGCTTGGAATGGCAGTAAGAATGTGCAGATGCTCTTGCTCCATTATAGTAACACATTTCTTAACTGCACAGGTCACTCATGCTACCTAATTATTTCAGCACCAGAAACTATATGACACAGCATCTTGGGAAAGGCATGATGCACACAGTGCACTCTCTTAACAGTGGTTCACTGTCTAACAATGGATCCACAGAAAACAGATTTCCATCTACCTGCCGCATGAAGTCATTCCTAGATTTCTTCCACCCATGACATTTTAGTAAATTATAAATCACAACCAGTCTGTTTATTTTGAAGTGCAAGAACAAAGATAAGACTAGTCCCCATCTAGTGCAATTCAGTTAAGACTTTACATGCACAGGGTTTACCTGTACACTGAGACTTTACATTTACATGACTACATGTATAGGGTTTGGCAACATACAGCCCATGGGCCAGATCTGGCTTGTGGAAATGTGCCCTCACCTGGGCTGGGGCTAGGCAGCGTCCAGCTGTGCCCACGCCCCTGCTGCTTTGCCCCACCATCCCAGCTCCAATCTGATACTGGCCTGGTGGTTTTGGTGGCACGTGGGAAAGAGGGGGCTTGGCTTGTGCCCATGCTAAGGCCAGACAGCTAGGAGCTGGCTGCACCACCACTGCTTCTCCAGCTTGAGCATAGCTTTTAGCTGGTGGGGAGCTGAGCTGTGCTGAGCTGAGCAGCTTCCAGGCATGCCTAAACTGCAGCTACTGGGGAGGGGGAAAGGGAGAGTGGTAGCAGTGCAGATGCAGTTTGCAAATATCTGGCCCTGGCACAACTTCCCAGCAGCTGGAAGCTGCACTCATACAGCAGCCAGGGAGCAGGGTGCTGGGAGAAGCAGCTGACTCCAGCGTGGGTATGGAGAAAGCCACCTCTGTCCCCCAGATGCACCAGAGAAGCCACCTGGTCCATGTTGGACCATCTGGGCTTCCAGCCCGCAGCTTATAAAAGGACACTTGCACCTCCTCTAGGACATTTGCTTTTCCTTAATTGCTGTTGAAATTCAGCCAGATGCCAGGACTCTCCTTGCATGAAAATAAACTACTATTTGACCATTTAATACTGGTACAATGTTATTGCCTCCCAACTGTCTAAAACTGCCAATTGCATCACAGAAGAAAGCCCCTTTACAAAGTATTTCCAGTATTTCATACTAGGACTTTAATAAACTGTTACATCCATTATTCTTCTGGGTTGTGAAACTGGTGACTGATGTGCCTTCAGCATTGTATGTGCAACACAAAACAATGAGAAACATGTAGTGCTTCATGACTGCCTACAGTACAGCAAGTAAAATGTATTGCTCAACCTCAGGCAGACCAGAATAAGCTGTGCTTTCATCCTGCTGAGTCCAGCAGCCACTTCAGACTAAACACAATTCCCCCTCCTCAGCATCAGGATTTTCCTGTCTAGTGTGTAACCAGAATGACTAGACTGTTTTTTGCTGGTTGTACAGCAGATGCATCACAGTTGCTGTTTCTTCTAGGAATCAAAGGCAGAATGACAATTTTAATTAACAATTAAGAATTTTCTAACATGTCTAGGCAAACAACACGATGTGAGATTCTAAAATTGCACCAGGCAGCTTCTGTTTGTATGCTCCAGAAAACAACTAAAACTTGGCATCTGAGTCACTCTACAACAGTGGTCACTTGATGGACCAGTAGACCCCAGAGCCTCTTGAAGTCGATCCTGGGCTGAGCGTGCGTGTGCACGCACGTGCCCTCTCCCCCCCAGCTCAGCAGGTCAGCCGGTGGGGGAGGGAAGGGGCGGAGGCATGTGCAGCGGGGCTCAGGGCGCAAAGTCCAGCCCGCAGCAGCTGCCTCCGCCACACACAGATCAGCTGCATACAGATCAAGTGGGCACATGCCTCGCCCAAACACAGGGCAACACTGGCAGCTGCAGCAGCTCTGAGGTAGGGAATGAGGCAGGGGCAGGCCCTGCACAGCTGGGGCAGGGTGGGGGGGATGGAGCCATGGGCGACTCATCTGGGGGTCATGGGGAGGGAGGGGCTTGCAGCCTGGTAGGACACGTGGGTGTGCGTGCCCCTGGATCTGCATGCGGGGTGTGGCAGGGTAGGCTGGGGCTGGGGCAGCACCGAGCTCTTCCCAGCCAGGCTGTGCTCAGGCCAGGTGGCTGCAGCGCTGGGAGTGGGCCCATGAGGAGGCTGTAGCCCCCCCAACACCTGTTCCCAGTCCCACCACAAAGCACAGCAGGAACAGCCTGACGCAGCCTTCCCCTTTCCCT